ATGTATTTGTTATAATTAAACTAGAGGAGAGGTTTTTATGATTGTTTGAAACTTCAGGGGAGGTTTTTGTATTTTACCTAAAAAAACATATTCATCTTATTCATACTACACAATTCTCTAAGAAATCATTTTCTCATTTTCTATAAATATGTTATCTGCAACATTCATTCTATCATTAGTAAAATTAGGCCTGTAAACGGTACACGAAAATCTGAACTCGAATCCGAGATTCGGTATAATCAAATCGAATTCAGATAGTTCTAATCGGATATTCAGTCAAATCCGAATATCATTTTTTTACCGATTAAATTATCATATTGAATTTGGATATGCATTGATCCGAACTGATTATATATATATATAATATAAAGATTATATATATTAATATATTATATAATATATATATATATATATTATAACACACACACACACACAAATATATTATATAATATATATATATATATATTAWAACACACACACACACACACACACACACACACACACACACACACACACACACACATATATATATATATATATATATATATATATATATATATATATTATATATATTATTACCCTATAGTAAAAGTGTAAAACCCTAACCCTCCAACCTCTATCACTCGCTTTGCCTTCGTCGGGCGCCGCCTAAGCAACCACTGTCGGTTTGTCACCAATCATTGCCTTCATCGCCGTCGTCGCTCATCTCGTCACCTCTATCCCTCTTTTATCAGTCTCAGTCTCAGTCTCAGTGACAATGAAACAGTGAATCGCCACCAGAAACCCATCACTATTCACCTTCTTTTCTCAGTTTCAGTGACAGTGAGATAGTGAATCATCGCTAGCATCACCTTCTTGTGCTGCAACCCACGACTACCACCAGGAACCCACGCCTGCCGCCATCTCTTGCCTCTTTTCCCAAGGTAATTTTCAGATCACAAATTTATGGTAGTGGTTTAGATAATGATTTATTGATTTTTCGATTTTTGGTTAAGATGTAGATTCACGCTTTCTTTGCAAAACGTATAGAGTGCCTATTTGAATTGAATCGGATTTGAATTCACATTCGAAAAGTCAATCAATCGAATTCGAATCAAATCAAATATTCGATTTGATAATCGAAATCGAATTCGAACTAAAAGATTTGATATTCGTCAGATATCAAATCGAATTTGAATATTAATATTCATAACCGGTTTCAAATTTAAATCTAGCTAGATTCGATTCGAATTCGATCCGTTTACAAGCCTAAATAAAATTGGTTTCACTAGAACATTTATTTCTGGACTACAGATATTATCCCATCAAATTCTATCTAGTTAACTATATCCATACATCAGTACAACTTATAAAAGTGTGGATTCGTCTCACATTTTGGTTTCATCATTTCACTGTTCACATGGTATGACAGCTGCTTTGTCATTGCAAAACTAAAATTCAGCGTCCAAATTATCTCTCTCTCACCATGCAAAAAGACCACCACAACATTATTAGACATACAAAAACCATAAGAACTTGATATATCACATGCTGAGATGATGTGCCTTTAGGATTTCATGTCTTCATTTCATCTATTAATTAGCCTTAGTCTTGAGCAAATTTCCATGAAATGATCACTTCCACTTAAAGAGGTCATCCTTTTAAGTTATATGTTTGGATTGGCAAACCAACAAAAGAAATCTAGATGATCCATTAGGAAATTTTCCTCCCAATTATAGTTAAAGAAAATTATTTAAAATTCCAATTGAAATTAGTGATAATGTTAAAAATTTTCCCATATTTTCTAGATAGCTCAAGGAAAGCACCTTATAGGAAAATCAGCTAGGAAAGTCATAACTCACCCATTAATTGGATGGACTATGACCGCACCATGTATCCTAAGTGTGAATTGCAGGTTGCAGCTACTACTAACTGAATTGCTTAGGATCTCTACTTACTTGAGACTTGAATTTTTCTTTCAATTTGCAGTAGACAATAAGAAAAGCTTTCAGGCTTAAAAATAGCAACCAAACATTACTTTTGGGATGCACTTAAAAGCCAAAACATTATCAAGAATTAAGCCTAGAAATTTATGCTCCCTATCAAATAGCTATCCAGCATCCACTACCAAGTCTAGTCTGCACAAGCACAGTGATGTCTAGGGATACAAGCTCATTACATGCTATCAAATCACAAGCATGTGCGNGGGCACAAGCATCCATTGATGGCTAAATTTGTACTGGTTGACCTACCCAAGAGATCATAACCAAGCATTGTAATTTGTAACTAATTGGTTATTGGCTCTCTAAGAATCTTTAGTAGATTAACCTCTAAGATGGCAATACAGATGTGCTTACAGTTTTTTTAAATAAAATACTTACAGTTAGATTATTTGATTGCAGATTTGAAAGAACCCATTTGATATTTTTAGCCATTAGATTGAAAGTTCTTCACCAAATTTCTGTACTATTAAAAAAAAACTAATGCCCAATTTTCTCAAATCATTGTAGGTTTGAAATTCCATCTAAACTTTCTTTTTCCTTATCTTTTGCAAGACCCCATTTGATGTTTTGGCAATTATATTGAAAGTTCTTCAGCCCATTCATCTAAAAATGTATTCACAGAATAAGTCAAAGATCTCACTTCCCTAAAATAATTAATATAGAACCAACATACAGAATTTTCTGTCATTTAATAAAATCTTTGTTTATGTTACTGATTAAAAATATCACCCTTATGACCATGGAATGCCCCTCCCATATGGTGATGTGTGACTTGAATTTGGAAGAAATAGTTAAGAAGTATTTTAGGAAGGTAGTTATGATGCTTGGTCTGCTCAGTGCTATCAAATATCATTTTTTTGGCCCCAAACATCCCTTGAATGCGTCTGATGATATTTCTTCATTGGAGATCAGTCCAACGATTGATTAGTTATTATTATAAGAAGGTAGAGGAGTTAAATGTTGAACTTAAAGAACTTTGACATATTTCAGAAATAAAGGTGGTGATGCATGACTTGATGTAAGAAGAGAGAGCAATTAAGAAGTATCTTGTGAGGGTTGGATCATGCTTAGCCTTCTTAGTACAACCAAATGTCATTGAAGAACAAATGATGATAATGATGGCTACCCTCACTTAGGTGGGATGAAGCCGAATGAGGGCTTATAGTGTTTGACATTCCATAATGTAATATGTGGAAGTTCATTTTCCATCTCCAGATCATACAGTTTTACTTGAATTTAAACCTATGATTGCTAAACTGATGCATATCTAAATTTTGGTTTGATAATAATATCTTGAACTTATTTTTATTATTTATTTTTTATTAGGTCTCATTTTTTACTAAGGATCTAAGCACGCTTGAATGTTGCAGGGTATGATATTGGATTTCATTAGATATAGAGAGAGGCAACCACAAATTGTGAACCTACATGGAAGGTTATTTTGCGCATACCAGTGGAATAGACTACAAGACTTCAAACAAACTACCACCGAGATCAAAAAACTATCAGACTTCACAAATCATATGTTGATGTTGCAGGGTCTGCACTCGAAAATGGTGCCTTGGTGGTTTGGCCATCTGTAAAGGGGAAAGAAAAAAAATGTGAGAGGGGAGAGGAAGAAGAAGAAGAGGAAGGGGGGGGGGGGAGAGATCCATGATGAATTACCTGGCCAGAATAGTTCAAGTCAGATCTTTAGAGTTTGGCTGCCAAACTGCAGAAGGGTTTGGAGGGAGTGACCAGAGATGAGAAAGAGGGTTGGAAACCTGGAAGACTGGAATCAAGGGTTTGAGGGGTTTTTTTGTCATTTTCTTTTTTTTTTGTTTTGTTTTAACTGGCTGGAATGGGAATCCGATTTCAAGGGGGTGGGCCGGGAATGGCCATTCCCTCAAATGGGGATGCCATTCTGCCTGGAATGAGAATTTGGTTCCGATTCCACCCAACCAAACAGCTGGAATCGGAATGACCCATTCCAATTCCGATTCCAAACCTCTATTCCTGCGAACCAAACATATCGTAAGTTTTAACTCCACATGTTTAGTTTGTCCCTCTCCTTTAGTTATAACACAAGAAATATCACTCTCTATTGGAGGGCTTCCTATTGGATCTACACTCTACAGCGAGAGACCATAACCTCTCGCTCATACACATACACTGATTACCTTTTGAAACTAAGCCTAATAAATTTCTCCACTTAAAAATCCACCCAAGAAGGGAAAGAAAATATCATCTACCGAAGAAGGTTAAAAGTTGATTATTCAGGCATTTCGACTTTAACATTATATTTAAAAAAAAAAACATATATCTCCACAAACAAGAAACTGAGGCTGTGTTTGGTTTGATAGAAAAGAAAGGAAAAAGTAGGGAAACGGGAAACCCATACAAACCAGCCTTAGGGTTATAAGCTAGAACATTGAATCAGATGCATAAAAATTAAATATAAAAATCATTAAATCAGATGTCTTGCTTTTTTTTCTAATTTAGTTTGCCAAGGCAAAGATGCCACTTTAAACTCAAATTGCGAGTTTCTTTCACACAATCTTTATTTGCAACGAAGAAACGAACATAACGGGCTACGCAACCAATCAATAGTCAACACTCAAGTCACAACACGCCAGTGATTCATGAACCCGGCGTGTTCATCTTTGATTGCTTACGTAGTCCGTTGTATAGCCATATGTTTGTAGCAAATTCCGGCTATCACACACATTTTGTTGACAAGTGACCTATCCCAGTCTTCCCAGACGACCCCTACCTCAAGTAGACGAGTCGGCGAGATGGGCCTAATTTTCACAGCCCATGGGCCCTATATGAGCCATCTGCAGCATCGTTGTTTCCTTTTTATTCGAAAAAATGCTTTAAAGCACAAATTTCCAAATTGATTCACGAGCGTGAGTCCACCCACTGTTCCAACTTGATGTCGACTACAGTCTGACTCCACACACTACAGGAATAGAGACGGTTATCCGTTCCACTCTACTCAAGTAATCATCGTCATCGGTTCCACTCTACTCATGTAAATGAACAAACAAAAATAAGGCCTGAAACTGTCACAGTAAAAACTAATTTTCTTTTCCTTCTCATTTTCACTTTCACTTTCACCTTTTTCAATTACATAAATTTGGCTGTCCAAATCAGAAGCATTCGATTGGAATCCAACACCCACCCCGGGCCCTACACCTCACATCACGAGTTACGACTTTCTTACAACTTGGATGATAAACTAGAGAAAATAGGAAAGTAGATAGATGCTAAATGTGTAACTTCACATATTGCAGCTGTAGGTAGGGAGGGGCCCTAGCCTCTAAACTAGGGTTGCCCTTTGGTCGTTCCTAACTGAACCTGACTAATACCGGTCGGCTGTTCTTGGCCCAGCTGGCTCTGGTTCTGGTTCTTGTTCATCTTCTTCTTCGTCAGCGCCGATCTCCATCTGAAGTTACCAAACAACTCCTCCGTCTCCTCAAGTGCTCTTCCCTGTGTTTCCGGTAGGAAGGTAAAAAAGAAGAACCACGCCACCGTTGCTACTCCGCCGTACAAGAAGAAGGCACCACCAATAGTTATGGCCTTGTACAGTGATATGAACGTCATCGCCAGGACTCCACTCGTAACCCGGTTCACTGCGACTCCCACGGCCGCGCCCTGAGCACGCAGCCTCAATGGGAAGATCTCCGAGCTGTATACCCAAGTGATGGGCCCCAGACCGATCGAGAAGGAAGCTACGAATGTTAATACCATCATGATACATAGGACGATGGCCCACGGAAGCTTCTTGTCTGAATTTTCGATTACCGTCAGCCCAGTTGCTAGCCCCACCAGAGAAACTATCATGCCGGCAACGCTGCTGAGAAGCAATGGACGCCGTCCGACTCTGTCCAGAAGAAACGTAGCCACCAAGATGAAGCAGGTCTTCACGAATCCGACGGCTACCGTTGCTCCCAATTTCTTGTTTCTGTTCGTTATCCCTGCCTTCTCGAATATCCGTGGGCTGTATAACACCACAGAATCTATGCCAGAAGATTGTTGGAAGAAATGTATACCGATGGCTGCGATTAGTATTCGTCTAACGGACGGTGACGGGCGGAGGAGGAGCTCCTTCCACACACCTTCTCCGTGGCTGCGTTTCGCAACCTGGATGACCTCGTCGTTGCACTCCGCTGGTATTCCGGCAGCCTCCTTGATATCGGCGAGTCTAAATTCGGCCTCCTCCTTAGACTCAGAGGTTTTGTTGAGCACCCGTCTAGCCTCACCGAGCCGGCCCTGCATCACCAGCCAACGAGGTGACTCGGGCATACCCATTACGCCAAAACCCAGGAGGACTGAAGGGATCGCTCCGATTCCGAGCATGAGTCGCCAGTTGAGGTGATTTGGGAGCCCAGCGAAGGCGTAGTTGGAAACGTAACCAAGTAAGATTCCGCCGTTGATGAAGACTTCAGGGAACGACGTTAAGAAGCCTCGGCAAGAGGTCGGTGCCACCTCGGCCGTGTACACTGGAGCGATCATGAGAGCATAGCCGACGCCGATTCCGGCCACGAATCGACCCACCATGAGGAAGGCGTAATTTGGTGCAAGACCCATCATTAGAGCCCCGACAAAAAAGATCACAGCAGCAAAGATAATAGTGCATCGACGACCAATCCAGTCGGATGTTCTTCCTGCCGCTGTTGATCCGATTAGAGAGTACAAGTGGAAAACCCCGACCAGGATTTCTACTTGTGTGTCAGTTATATGCAAGTTGTCTTTGATGAAAATCACAGCTCCACTCATCACACCAATATCTAAGGAACAATGAAATGGAAGAAATGAGATGTATAACTCCAATATAAAGCAAAAAGCGTACAGGAAACCAAAAGAAAGATCAAACGCATAATTTAAGCAAGAATGCTCACCATAACCCAGCAAAATCGAAACCATGGATGCTATCGTCGCACAAGCCATAGCGAACCGTTTGTTCTGGCGTTTGGCCGGAGTTCCGGTTAATGCAATATTCTTTTCCATTTTCTGTTCAGTTTCAGCCATTTCTCTCCCTCGCGAAGATAGAGAACCAACGAGAGAGAGAGAGAGAGAGAGAGATGAGAGGGTCCAAAGGTTAAATGGTCATGAGTGAGTCAGGACCAGGACTGTGACGATTGTTTCGCGGAGATCAACTCTCATCTCTCATCAGCTTAAATAGAACCAAGCTTACATCATCGGAGACCGCAGAGTGTATGAACCCTGGCCTAGCCTCACGTAAACACTCTTCTCCTTCCACATGTTTAAGCTTCCACAAATTTACCAAAATATCCTTGTGCTACCTGTTTAGCTGTTTCTCACTCAAGTTTCAAGGAGATTATGGTAATTGAACGCGGAAGACGGGAAGAGGATAATAAGATCCTGTCGACCACGGACCACGTGTCACGTCCTCACTCAGAATCGGGTCCAATGTACCCAAACGAATATCCGATCTGGTCAAGCGGTTCAACAATCAAACCAGTAGTTAAAAAAAAAAAGAAACACGCGGGCACGTCGATGGCCGGTCCAGTGTCTCGACTCGTGATCCAACCATGGTCAAACCTATATTTATCAACATCCCAATCCTTCGCAAATCGCATCTTCTCTTTCTATATTATATACAAATTTACCAATCGAAAGCTGCCCATAATTGTTAATTGGGCTTGGTTTACCAAAAAAACAAAGGGCTGTGTTGAGTCAAACAAGATAGGCCAATCTTTTGAAAAGGAAGGGACCCACGTCCATATCTTCGGTTCAATTAAAGCTTTGTCGATAATTATTCATCTCGCCGTAGAAATAGCATTTTATGGTAATCTTTCCAAGTAGTACGTTTATTCAAAGAATGTGGGCGGATTTGTATGTGTAATCGATTGGTTGACTTCACTCAGTGAGCCCACCCAGCGAGTCGAGTTAAAATCCGTTGAGATGGCATGTGCCCAGAGCAGGCCACAGGAATATTGGACTCATCATATATCACACAATTGGAATACTGTTTGTGGGCCCATCACGATTAGAGATTAGGGGTTCTACCTAATATTCTAGATATGTGGTGTAAGATGCACTTGTAAGGGATACAAAGCATAATTCATAGTATAAAACATTATATATTCTAATGTCAAGTGTGAAATGAAAGAGATGGGGGGAAGAGAGAAACGGACAAAGATGAGACTATTGGACCAACTCATGACCGCCAGCTTGGACTTGCGTTCACGAACAGTTTTTGTTTTTTTTTAATAATAATAATAATAATATATTATCTTGATCTTCATTTAAAGAAATATGGGGAAAACGAGAACTTGTTTTACCAAACGATTTCTTATATTATTTTATCATAAATTCGTCGCTGCATCTGATCAACAACTCCAAACAAAATAAATATATTTTATTGTTTAAACTTCAAACACCCAAATTCGTTCACTGTAGAAAACCCCCACTATCTTTGAAAGTTGAATCTTGAAACTTGGATCTTCAAACAATCTCCCAACAACTTGTGGATTGATTGAACTATCAGACATGATTTTTCCTTCTTTTTTTTCGGTGAGAAGACGTGAACAATGAGAGATCACTACACCAGACCAGACAAATCTTGCTTTATTTCAATGTTCTAAGTTCTCGACAGGTCACTGTGGATGTACGATTCACAGGTTTCGTCTTTAGAACCAGTCACTCAGTCAGTTTAGGTTTTCACTCGAGCTAAGCTTTGAGTCATGGATTTGTCCACAGATGCAAGTGTGAGAGAGAGAGAAACAGTTGCTTTCTTAATTCGTTAATTAAGAAAGGAGAAAAGAGACAACTTCGTACCTTTGTCATTAAATGATCCTATACCTAATTGTGTAGTCTGTGCATGAGAGTCGGAGCCAATTGATGCAGGCACAACTGTCAAAGGAAACAACTAAGTAATAAAGAAGATGAAATTTAATCGTGGAATCGAAACTTTTGTAGTTGGTGAGAGAAACAACCACAAGAAATTAAATATTAGAGACGGGAACAAATAGTGTCTACATCTCATACATAAAATTGCTTTGCGCTGCAGATTGGTGAAACGGGAAGAACCATTTGTGCGAGGTTAGAAGTTGATAGAATGGACAAGGAAAACTCCATTGCATCACAAATTAAAAATAAATTTTGATATCTCTAGACAATTGAGATGACAAATAAACACTACTTGATTGTAGAGGAAGAAATCATCTATCTAATAGAGTGAAAATGAGGGCTAAAATATTGGTTCAACCACCACAAATTGCAGGAGTATGAACAGTAAGAGAGGTGCGTGTGTGACATAGTGGAATAAGGTTCATTCAGATCAGAGACTGAAAGCAAATTGGGTGCAGAAGCTGCAATTTAATACCAAGATTTAAAAAACGGGACCGGACATCAAACCATTTTGGCCATCGGTTCTTTGGTTAAATGGTCTGACCGTTTGGTTCGAATAGATGACCCATTCTGATTTTAAGAAAAAATAATTAAAATAAAAAAAAACCAAAACCATTGTTCGGATTGGCAGCAGATTGTTGACCAATTCAATAGTTTTTGGCCCAATGGTTTTAGGGTGAAATAGAACCGACTGCCCGACCGTTCTCAGGTCAACCAATCTGATTCGGTTTTCAAAACCATTTTAATACAAATAAAAGCAATAACGCACATAGACAATAATGAAAAATGGGAATATATCTATGGAAAAAAGAAAGAAATGTACCCTATAAGAAAACATTTTTTTTATCCTAATAATAATGAAAATAATTAATAAAGAAGGAAAAGTAAGTGAAGCAATTGAAATAGTTAAGGGGGTGTTATGATAGAAATAGTTAAGCTTAAATTAAAATTGTGTTTTAGGAAAAGGCACGAGGATTAATTAAGAGCAATAATTTAGGTGATGAAGATATTTAAGGAGAGAGATTTTAGAAACACTTAAGGCTGGGGAGAGCTATAAAAATAAAATCGTTCACCTTAAATTAAGAGTGTCTTTTGAAAAGGCACGAGGATTAATTAAAAGCAATAACTTAGGAGATAGGGATATTCTAGAAGAGAGATTTGGAGGGGAGCTGTTAAGATAGAAATCTTTAAGCTTATATATTAAGAGAATGTTTTAGGAGAAGGCATGAGGGTTAATTAAAAGCAATAACTTTAGGAGATGGGGATATTTTAGGACAGAGATTTTATGAATTCTTTAGGCAACGTAGGGCTACAAGCGGATCGGATGATAATCGGTAAGTGTATATTCGATCCAATCTGTTAAGAAAATCCGACTCATCCATATCCGATAAAGATCCGTCGGATTTATAAAAGCATGATTCAAATTCGAATTTAAATGTATTATCTTATATCCGATTTGACTATAATTATATTTATATTATGTAATATAAATAATATAAAAATATTATTTATATAATTTAATAATATATAATTATATAAATCTTATATAAAATACACGTATATAATATGTAAATAATATTTAATACTTAATGGATTGGATCGGATCACAACGGAACAGATCAGCCAATATCTGAATTCAATCCGTCAAGAGGGATATCCGATCCCCCTGTTAATGGATTAGTACGGATTTGATCTGACTTATTTACAAGCACATGGCGACACAAAAATGCTCATTGAATAAGCTTTTTTTTTGTTTAAAAAAAAAAGGAAAATTCCACTTTAGTACCCTGAACTTTGGGGGAAGTGTCATATTAGTACCTGAACTTTCAAATGTGTCGTTGCAATACCTAAACTTCCAAAAAAGTGTCAAGTTAGTCCTTGTTGTTTACCGACCATCAGTAATCTATTGAAAATGTCAAAACTACCCTTCAAAAGAAGACATTGTTCAGTTATATGTTGAAAATACTTTTAGCCAAGTTCACACAAGGTGCATGTTACATCTTCTTTCATATAGTTAATAAAAAAAAAAGGAAAACTCAATAAAATGAGACAAATGGGAAAGGGGAATGAAGCAAGGAGATAGGGGTATAAACAGATCTAATTCGAATAGAATCAGACAATATCCGAATTCAAATCCGATTAAATATTCGAATTCGATTAATTAATTATTTTAGATATAAAGTATATAAATATATAAATTATTTATATAACTTAATTATTATATATATAAATTATATAAAATATTTCATATATTATATATAAGAATTAAATAATTGGTCAAATTCAGATATTTATCGAATTGAATCAGGTCATATTCAAATTCAAATCCGCTTAACTATTCAATATGAATAGGATATCCGAATTCGATTCGATTATGTTGAATATCAAATTTAAAATCGGATTTTCGAATACCATTGACACCCCTACAAGAAGACTAAGAGATGTTATGTGATGTGAGTCTATTTATTATACTACTAATAAATGTGCATGTGCAAAAAATAATTTTAAACAATTTTACAAGATGATGATGACGATGATAATAATAATGTGTTTAGTTTTTACAATATTTTTGAAAGGTTCATGTTAACGTGGGAGAGCTCCCTCAAAAAAAAAATGTGCTATAAATGGAAATTGCATCAGTGAAGGAATATCTTAGATAAAATAATAATAATAATGGTAGTAGTAATAAGGGTATTTTAGTTAAAAAATTTTATAAACTCATTATTATTATCTTGAACTGCCAGCGAAGAGTCAGATACTAATTGCTTAACACCTGATTCGTTGATTCCTTCCATCATGTGGGAAGATCCGGTTTATAAACAACCAATCGATATTTAAAGAACCTGGAGGGGTTATGTTAGTCAAGCCGGCCAGAACCGTAACAGGTAGGGTATATTTCAACATCAAAGACTTAATTTGGAAACCTTTTGGAACGCCTATATATCTATTAATAAGACCACATGATCGGTTGAGCGCGGGGCTCCTCAGTTGAATCAGGATTTTTAATTGCCAGAAATTTCAGAATTTCGTGCAGTTCGAACAAGACAAAGTTTCCCAAATTTCTGCTGTACTATTTATATATGGATGCATATGTTCAAGTTATAACGATATATTTTAAATTAGACTACATTAAGTATTTTATCACTTCTATAAGTCGAGCTCCCAAAATGAATCTGCTACGGCTCATCTCTTAATAAGTATCACAGAAAGTCCTTAGATTGGACACGTGTACCGTTTCTGTACCATGCAGTGGACTCCGCAGTGCAAGTGAGTCTTGACTGTTGATATATTATTGGGGACACTTTTTATGGTCCGGTGGTCCCGAACTCCCGATTAGCAAGACGTGTG